CATAATAGCTTTATTGAACTCCTAATCAACTATTAATGGCATTACATTACTCCAGCTACCATATTTATTGTTGATTTTAGAGTATTCATGGTCCCTAACTAATAAAAACTCATTTATTGCTCTTGCTAAAATTTAAATACCTTAAATAACTTTCATTAACTCTATTTAAATCAATGGGTTAAGACCTATAACCCTATAAGTCTGAAAATAAACTTCTCTAGCAAAACCTTGCTTCCAAACTCAAGAAAAATGAAAGAGAAAGGAAGATTAATGCTTAAGAACTTACTAGTAGAGGTTGGAAGCTTCAAATGCCTCCCAAATGGCATCCTAATTTGTGCCCTAACAGAGCTGTCTTTGTGTTTTTCTCCTTCTCGCTCAAACTCTCTTATTTTCTCTCTTTCTTTACATTAGGCATATGGCACAAAATGAATCATGTGCCATGGTGTACACTCCTTGTGCCACAACATGTGATACAAAGAGCTCACTTTACTTATTCTGGCCTCTACCCTGTGACACACAAAACACACATTGCAACACGTGGTACAAAGACTTCTTCCTTATATTTTCTTCCCTTTTGAAAGGCCTAAGTGGCCCATTTTTATTTTGGATCTAATCCTAAGGTTGTAACTACAATCTAATAGGCCCATCAACCTTCTTAAACAACACACCATAACAATTTACCTAATTACCCTAATTACTAATTCAAACTCATCTTGCTTGATTAATTTGAGGTTAAAAATTTTGGAATGTTACACCTATCTTCATTGAACTTCATTAATGGCAACAAAGGCCATAGCTTCTATGTTCCTCAAACAACAAGAGTTAACATTCGCATCAGTTGTTGTTTCATTAACAAATAAAACTTTCACTTCTTCATTGCCATTCTGCTGTCCTCAGTTGAGGGCTTTTCATTGGGAAGAGCCGCAATAGGTTTCTTAGTGTCTTTATGGAAGTTCAATGTCTAATTTGAATCCTTGGATAAGGGTTGCATCAGAAGATTGAAAGTCAGATTAGGATAATTGCATCTCAATCACATCAGCAATCCTTTATTATACGATGATCGTGGTGATGTTTCAGGTTTAGCATCCATGGGTTTCATTCTTGCCGTTGAAGGACAAAGAAGCGTATGCTTTTTTTTAATATGAAAATGTCTTCTAAAAATATTAGGGGTATAAAATATGAAAAATTAGAGATACAAAAATAAAAAATGCCTTCATAAAAATTCTCTATATTTTTTTAATATGAAAATGTCTTATAAAAAGATTAGGGGTATAAAATATGAAAAATTAGAGATACAAAAATAAAAAATGCCTTCATAAAAAATCTCTATAAATACATTTTTTTAGGGAAGACTTAGTTATTTAATCTTATATACATAATACATTTTTGTCCAAATAAATCCAAAAAAGTAAATTTTAAAATGTTAAAAAACATTAAGCATATGGTTGGCCAAAAAAATATATTAAGTATGTATAAAATATTCTCATGTCTTAATTTATCCAAAAACAAGCATATTAAGTATATATGTTTTTTTCTCTATTTTTAATGAAATTTAAAATTTTTATAACATATATTTTTCAAACATATATAATATAAAACATTTTTATAACACAAATTATAAATAATAAAAATCAATGTTTTTTTTTTGTAATTGTACATTTAAAAGCATATTTTACTATAAATATATAAATAATCTAAATAACTTTCAATATATTAAATTAACTTCTAAAAAACTATACCCAAATATAAATTTTATTACAACGACTTTATTAAATTAACTTTTATCAAATAAATTTTTAGTTAAACCAAACACACATGTACTGTTGGAAGCAAGACAATGAATGGTAATGAGTGAAAAGGGATGGGGAGAATCTCAATTAGGGCCAGAATGAAATTAATCACATGCAAAGCCTAGTACATTCTGAAACCTTTCTGTAGGACCAAGGACCTCAACATACATAATTCAATTCAATGCATTCATTACCAGTAAAATTAAAATATCATTAACTATTTATCTAGTCATAAATTTATTCATGTGTCACGTGCTTTGAATTGTGCCTTGCATCTTTAAGATGTCTAATAATGTATTGAGGAGGTTATGCGAAATGTAAATGAACTTCTACCCTCTTGTTTTCTCCCTTCCTCATTCTTGTGATATGCCTTCTTTCATTGTTTGGTAATTTCAAGATATATCATTGGTATCAAAACACGTTCCCATCCAATGGTAGATGGAATGTGTTTAATCAATACTGATTTTCATATAATGTCATTTTTTATAATTTATTTGTAAATATTATTATTATTTACAAATCTTCACATATAATTTACAAATTATCTATAAATTTCTATAAAATCATTTTGAGCTGTTAATATTTAAAAAATAATTTATAAATTTTGGATTAAGATTTATAAATAATAATAACTAAATTATTGAACATTGAATATTTAATATTTTTTAAAAAATTCATTAAATAACTTTTATTTTAACAATACTTCAGGATGGTTAGCGCCATTGAAAAAAGAATTTGGTAGAAGAAATTCTAGTTTTTTTTTGCCTAAATAGATTTTTGAAATTCAAAAGTAAAAAATGTCATTTTCATTAATAATCAAACCTACGATTTTCCTTTAAAATTGAAAGACCTTTAAAATTCTAATTAATAATCCACTGTAGCTATATATGCTGAATATAAGCCCTTGTGCCCTCCGTTATCTCCTTGCCAATGTAAATTAATTCATCAACTCAAGCAATATTTTGTACTGTCGGGACAATGATATCATGTTAGGCAATACCGATGGTAATTATGTCATTGAATTCTTTGATTTTTTTTTCTGGCTAAAAAATACGTTTGTTTCTCGTTGAGATGTCGTATGTTTCTAACATAGTTGTCATGAAACAATTAAGGTCCAATAAAAGATCTCCCGTGAGAATTATGGGATTTGGATTTGGATCTTTCATTCGTGTCCTACAGTAAGCATGTCAATTAATCAAAAGAAACTAATAAGAATGGCCTTAATAGAATTCAAAAAGTGCAAGAAATTGAAAACAGCTAGTAGGAGTATTAAATAAATCTTTGAGTATTTTGTTGGTTATTTCCTTTCGTTTAGTTATTTTGTTTGTGTGGGGTCCATCAATGATTGGGTGGGTTTTTAATCATGTGTCACATGCTTTAAATTGTACATTGTATCTTTAAGATGCCTCGCGATATACCAAGGAGGGTTATGTGAAATGTGAATGAACTTCCCTTCTCATTTTCTCCCTTTTCTCATTCTTTTGGTATTCCTTCTTTTATAGTCTAATAATTTCAAGGTATATTATTAGTATTAGAGCACATTCCGATCCAATGGCGGATAGAATGCATTTAATCAATATTAATTTTTAGATAATGTCATTTTCTATAATTTATTTATAAATATTATTACTTACAAATCTTCACATACAATTTACAAGTCATTTATAAATTTTTGTAAAATTAATTTAAGTTGTTAATATTTAAAAATAATTTATAAATTTTAGATGAATATTTATAAATAATAATATTTATTAAATTTAACAAGACTTTAAGACATCTAATGTGTTTGAAAAAAGAGTTTAGTAAAAGATATTCTAATTATTTTTTGCTTGCTTAAATAGATTTTTGGAATTTAAAAATAAGAAATGTCATTTTTATTAATAATGAAGCCTATTATTTTCCTTTAAAATACTGTTTATGGTGCCTCCAGCAAGCAGAAGAAATAGTAATGATGCTGGAAATTTTGTTAGAAAACAAAGTTGGGTAATTAATTGGGGAAAAACCAAAAATAGAAGTTGATAGACTCTTCTGATTTAACCCTTTCGTCTAATATCCCAAACATATAACGCCTGTCTAGGTTTTTGAGTACGTAGTTTTGTTTTGTTTTTTTGTTTTTGTTTCTTAACTGCCAAGTACTTGGAGTATGCATGCATTCTAATTTGAATCTTTTATAGGAAAGATTTTGCATGCTAACTAGTTAGCTCTAGTTAAAAAAGATTATAATTGTTTAAATTTGCATGAATGTAGAAAATGTTTTTAGAAAAATTACACACAGTTGAACCTAACACTTTTTTAATGTAATGTTTTCATATAGTTATATAAAAATAAAAAATAAATACTATTACTTAATAATAATTATTTTTATCAGTATTTAATTTAAGGATATAAATAATATTTTTATATTGTAAAAGTTTTTTTTTTTAATTTCATCGGGTGAATTTTTTTCCCTAGCATTACTCGGTCTTGGTTACCAGAGGGTTGGAGGGAGAGGGACGCCGCGCAAATAATAGAAAAACAGAACACGAACAAATGGAGCAAAGGCAGTCATGAAAAGTTGAAGATTATTGAGCTTCGAGTCGATAGTTGGGCAGATGAACCAGTCTCTGAGATGGCAATGCAAGGACTAGCACTCGCGAATCTTTCTGAAATTACGAGTCATAGGACCCCCTTCCCACGCAGGATTCCTGTAATTGGACTTTTATAGAACACCTAAAAGGCCAAAATACCCCCACAGCATTTGCCTCCTGCAGCAGCAGCGCCAAATCAGATCAGAAGATTCAATTCCACCACCACCAAACTCCTTGGGGCACTTCTTATTCTTTCGAAGGTTGTCATTTGTTTTCTCTCGTTCGAGAAGGGATTTTGAGTTTGAGGGTAACATGTGCGCCACGTTGGATGATGTCAAAATTCAGATAGCTAGACCAGTCCCATCAGGTTCTGATAAGGCTGAGGTATGAATGTTCCCTCCCTTTAAAATCTCTTTCAGTGAACAATAATAGAATGAAATGCCAAAAACTATGAGGAGAAAGAACTGAAGAAGAAAGGAAATGTATTGTATATTGATAAAGGCACTTGTGCATATGATATGCTGACGGATAGCTGGCCAGGAATAAAGCAAGACCACCCCATTGCCCTCTGGAGGATAATAAAAACAACCAAACAAAGCCTAAACTTTGTGGCTTGTGCACTTTACACTTCTGCAAGATGATATAATGAAATCATATTTTTATTGAACTTTTATGCAAGATACTTGGTGAGGGGGGAAAAGAGTGTAGAAATAGTAATCTTTGTATTTATATATACACAAATAGGAACAGTTATGGATTCCACGTCCCCAAAGGAGCTTTTCCTACCAACCAATGAGTTGAGACATAAGGCAGACAAGGCTAGCTTCGACAACACTTTCTCCTCAAGCTGCAACTTTTTTTCTTCGTTGCATGAATGGAATTAACTCTACATGATCAGCAACATACAAATTCATGTCCTAGTTGATGATTTTAAGTAAGTAAACCGAAACTAGAACTTATTCTTCTACATCATCCTGAAATAAAGAATGACATGGATTTTGTCCCTTATCTCCCTAAAAATATGTTCAATTTCACGTCACCACCACATGCTTGTCGAAGGAAAGTGACTTGTAATAGCATGATGTTCCTATTCGGATCCTCTTTTCCTTTACAACATGGATGATTTTGTAGCCTCCATCGTCTGGAAAGTGTATTGGTCCCTATTTCTGCAAAATAGGGTAACTCGCGTCTTTCTTGAAGTGCCTCTGTTTTGAGCAAAGTCTCTGTTTTGCGACTTGAAGGAAGTAAAATCCCCACTGTTCTTGTTTGTATATGCATGGGTAACCCCATAGGCCTATAATGTTGTTCTCGCAAAAAGGGCTGAGGTCATCGAACACACGATCGTCCAGAAGACCAAAATCCTGTATTCCATTGGAGCTGCCTGTTTCACAGTAAAATGTGAGGAGGAAAGGATATTAGAATATAATCCGATTGACATAAAAAGCATATGAATAACAATTGTGGGCAAACTAACAAGTAATAAGATTTTTTTTATTTGTTGAAAATATATAATTACACGAGTGTATATGAGAACCATATATAAATCCTGCTTTACATTGACATTCACGTATCTTAATTGTGGACTATACATTTTCTCTTTGTACCCTATTAGTTCTGCTATCGGCTAAATTAACCTTTTATAAAGGTGAAAACAACGAACTTATCGTTTTACCTTGTCTTAGCGGCGGAGGAGGTAAGCGAAATTGAAGTTGATGAAGTGGTTGAGAGAGCAGATAGCCCTACATTGTAAGCCATGGACTCGTCAGGTTGAAAGAGGCCATAGTTTCTTTCTGAGGTTGGTCCAGGCTTCATGTCCTCGTTGAACAAAGCAAATAGGTATACTTCCAGCCTCATTCGAGGCCTTAGAGGTGTCCCTTCATTTGCCATTTGCCTTCTCAACAAATTTCTGTTGTAAGTTGCTGCATTTATAACTGTTGCACCAGCTTCATTAAGGTCTCCTTTTGATGGCCAGCCAGTTTCTGATACCCTAACCTCTATCCCATTAAAGCCCAGTTTAGCCATGGCAAATATGACCGCATCTACTTGAGCGTACAGCATATTATCATAGTGCAGGCGGGTGTTGGGGTCAACCATCCCTGCATTAGGATTAAACAATGCATAGTCCAAAGAAATCCCTGTTGGGTTATCTTTGTAAGCGAAATAAGGGTAGGCATTGATCCAAAAAGGTGACTTGGTGCTCGACAGGAAGTTCAAAAGCTGGTTCATGATCCCCGAAATCTCACTTTTGAAACTGCCAGCTGAAGGAGGGTAAGATTCCTGAAGCACTGCTAAGGAAGAAGGTGTTGAAACATGGATGTTTGAGCCTATACCTAGCTGAGCTAGAGCATTATCAATGTTAACCATGGCCGGTACTAAATACTGAACGAGGTTCATGTCGTCATCACTGTAGACCTCATTTCCTACTTGAATCCCTGTGATCTTTGTGTCCGGTAGGTACGGTTTGATGTGGGTGCTCACCCATTGAAGGGCTTGTTGAGGGTCACCCAACTGGCTTAATATTTCGTTTTCCACAGTTACAATGAGCTCAACGTTGGAATCAGCAAAAGAAGTTAACACCTGAGGATTGGTGTCGTAGATTCTTGCTTTTGTGAGCTTAAGGGAGCTCAAAAGCTCCATAACTTTGTCTGGTGGTGGCAAATTGTTGGCAACTTGACCATAGTTGATTCCAAACGACATTGCACCTTGGAAAAGCCCTGTTCCTGTGATTATAAAGAATTGAAATCTCTTAGTGCTGCTCAAAATAATTCAATAAAATGATCTGCAAGAACAGGACCAAGAAAAATGAAGAAAAACAGAGCAAAACAGAGCAAACTGTGCACCTGCAAAGAGACATAACGCCAGGAAAATGTAGCTGACAATGATTCTTCTGATAAATGTAACCATTGTAAGCTTGTAAAGAAAGGAGATTCTGAGATTGCAGAATTCCAAAATGGTGAGAGAGAGGATAGATAAAGAGCTCTAGTGTGTGGCAAGGGAATTCCTTTCTTTTCTTGGTTGAATATTTGAGAGGCAGAGAGGTTTTGTGTTTGGTGGGTTGAATGAAAGGGAGTTTTGCTTGCCTTGGCAGAATTGTATTGGGTTTGCCTCTTACCCCTCGTGTGGTTTTTAAAGGAAGCATATGTTGGCGTGCTCATAGGGTGACCATCTAGAATTTCAAAAATAAAAATTTCTAAAAATTATAAAAAAGTTCTAATAAACATTTTTTAACTAATCTAATCTATATTTAATTTAAAAAGTCTAATTTAATATTAAAATTTTTATATTTTTATATGTTAACTATCCAGATGTATTTTGTACAGTCAAGATTTAAAATTTTTAACTTGTAATTTTTTAAAAAAATTTAAAAAGTTATAATTAAAAGATTATATATTTTATTTTTTAATATTGTATTCATCAAAATAAAAAAATAAAAACTTTAAATTTGAACCTTATAGATAAATATTTAATATTAAATATGGACTGTCTAAAGTACATGTAGATAGTCAATTTAAAAAGTTATAATACTAAATTAAACTATTTAAATTAAATTAGTATTATTCAGATTAATGATGAACCTCTTTATAAAAAAATTATAATTTTTTATTTTAATAAATTAAAATTAAAAATTAGTAAAATCTAGAGACTCAAATTTTATTTGATGGATGAGCACGTCGTACTCAGCAACTTGTTTAGCGCCAAGGACGGACCTGGTTGCCTCTTTCCAACCCACGCCAACTTCCATAATTTTCTTTTGACCTTTATATACTTCAGCCACTTTCTTCTCCCAAAAGCAAACACAGATCCCTCTCTTTGCGTGAATATTAGTAATTAATATAGGGACGTTACTGGATCATCCTAAAATTTGAGGCAACATGAAATTTAGTTGACTTTAATGATGAAAGATTCCTATTCTTTCCTGCCTGATGTTCTTTTAAAATACTGTTAAGTACGCGTTAATACTATCAATGAGCATTAAGAGATGCATTCCCTTTTGTTTTAAATTGAATGAACCAATGAACATGCATCCCACCGTTTAATCATCAATCAACACACATTCACATATCAAATGTTAAAGGGTTAAAATGAAAAAATATTCAAAATCTTTTTTCTTTGAGAGTTTTTAATATTCTTGAGTCAATAATAATATATGGTTATAGACACTCATTAAGTTTATAAGAGAAAATAACTTACTTCTATCTGTTAAGTTCCATTTTTATAATTTAATGGTTGACGTCAAATTATTTTAATGGATTTGTATTCACGTTCCGCCAAACTTATTCATGAGATAAATGAATGAAGCTTTTTGGAATACTGGGGGTGGCAAGGAACTATGCATGAAGGATCCAGGAAGGTGATGGTGGCTTTAGTGTAGAAGCAGGATAGGTCTGCCGGAAGCGACCCTTTTTGACTTGGAAGATCCTTCAATATTAAAAATTGTACGTAATGACATGTAAATGGACTCTTTTGTGATAGATCCATCAAAAATGTATTAAGACGATCATTTTTCAATAAAGTCACCAATTTTGACTCCTCCATTTTTTCTGACTTCAGATATCCATTACTTCTTCCTTCAATCCTCCCCTTTTTTGTTGCTGATTATGTTTGTTTCTGACTCTCATTGTTTTTTTTTTAATTTAAGAAGAATGTTATAATAATGTTATGCCAAACATCAGTTTGGTGATTCTTGGATAATGTTATAATAATATTCTGACACTCATCAATCTTTTTTTTTTTTTTTTGGTTTTGAATTGTTGTCAGTCTCAACATCCCTTCACGTGTTACTGTCATTTTTAATATACCAATATTTTTTTCTGCAAAAAAGAGAAAAAAATTGAAAAGTGGGATAAATAAATAAATAAATAAAAGAACAGTGCTTTATCATATAATTTTTAATAAAATAAGAAAAAAAAATACTCCCTAGCATCGTCTGAGTTGTAATAGGACCAACAAAACCCATACAATTAGACGCTAATTTTGGCAATCAAAGCGGCGATTTGCACATGATATAGATATATGAGTCTTAGCAAGTGAGGGAAGGGGGTGGGGGGGGGGGGGGATAAAGTGCCAATGGCTGGCTTTTTCAATAAAAAAAAGCTGGTTTTGAATAAAATCAGATTCTACACTCTTCCACTCGTTTCCCGTGCTAAAAACTATGAATATTAATTTTTCCCTTCTGTTTTGCAACTAAATATGAAAAAACAGTAGCGACTATAAGTTTTTTTTTTTTTGCCACTACTATAAGTATTGTTTAGGAACAGATTTGATTAATTAATTTGTAATCTGGACCCAAAAAAAAAAAAGTTTAAGTCATCTGTAGAAGTTCTCAAGTAAACTTTTGTGCCTTTACATATTAAAAGAATAAGTTTTATAAAAAATTCCAGACAAAATTTTATAAAAAGTAAGTTGCAATATTAATATATAAAATTACAAACAAGAATTCCAGTTTTATTTTTTTACTTTTTTGTTTTTGCCGGAATTCCAGTTTTAATCTGAGTTATATTTTAATCTTAAATGTATTATCTGTTATTGAAATTTTTGAATTTACAATCAGGGGAATTGATATTTTTATTTTTATTTTTTTGAAAACTTGACTATCATTAATTTAATATTTTAAGATTTAAATTATGTCATTCTCCAAAAAAAAAAAAACCAAACAACTGAAAAAACCTTTAAAAACTGTAATGTATCAGATTGTGACGATTTGATGGGTTGATTCATGAGAAGAGAGGCGAATGGAGCAAAGATGACCGACGTGAGAGGCATTAGAATATTTACAAACAGGATATTCATGTCGATCATTTTATTGATACGAATCTAATCAATTCATCTTTATGAACAAAAATCACAAGATGGAAAAAGATTGCGATATTTAAGATACATCCGTTTTTAAGGAAGATGCCAATTGGAAAGCTGAACTACCAGCTAGAAAATCTTCCTCCATTATAAGAAAAGCGCCAAAAAAAAAAATATACTGAGAAAGTTTTTAAGTAAAGAATCGGATTTCATTACCACTTTTTCAAGCAAGCAACTTCCTGGATAGTGAATGAATTACTGTTTTAATATTGTCTGCCACATTTATCCATTTATCTTTGATAATAAAACGCTATGATGGCCATCTTAGAGAAAATAATATCGAGTTCGATTTGTTTCTCATTATTTTGCAATTGGTTTTTCTTTCATCTTTGTTCCTTTTCCTTGTCTCGTTTATCTTCAGTATTCTTTTTTTTTTTTTTTTTGTCTTTACATTATTAATCTATGACTTTTGTGTTGGCTTAAGTTGATATTACATCTTTGTTTGTTTTAACAAACTAAATAGATAGATTGGCCAGAAGAGGAATTTATGTCGTCATTGATAAGAAAACTAAGGATTTCAGTAAAAATAAAATAATAATAATAATAATAATAATAATAATAATTTAGGACAAAATTTAAATTGGGAATTCCATTTCAGGGGTCAAAGTTGAGAGATATTTTTTGTGGCCGTTGAATTTATAGCATTCTCTGTGAGCGAGACTTATCCATTTATCCTTCATCAAACTTTATGACTAAATAGGAAATATCATATAAAATATAGCCTCCGTCAATTTGTGCGTTTCTTTTATATTATTCTTTTTTTTTCTTCCATAGTTCTGTATTTCTTTGATCTGTTCATTTATCAAAATTCTTTTATCTTTATTCTTTAAGCATTTTTTTTAAATTTATGAAAGTTTTCTTCAATATAGTTTGTCCAATTTGAGAAATATTATTATGGCAAAAATGCGTGAAATGTGATTCCTGTTGACTGGATAAAAAAGGAATTTCGGTTTTAGATACATGGTAAAATAGAAATTTGTAAGAAACTTGAAATTTTTGAGTAAAATTGGAGAGGAATTGAGAATTACATTTAGATAATAAATATTGCAAGATAAAAATTGAAAAAATAGAATAAAATCATCTTATTATATGTATTGTACATCGCTATTCCAATTTACAAATTAATCAAGACAAAAAAGGGAAGGAACCAGATAAACTAATTAAACAAAGAAAGTGTGTGGCAACAAAGGAATCAAACAAAGCTTAGGGAGGGGGAAAAAAAAACAGGACTTAGATTTTATTCTTGGTCAAACGAAAAATATGACTTTGGTTAAATTGTAACATTCAACAGCCTATTTTGAATCAACTTAAACCTCATAAGAATCAAAGTATAATAAAATAAAATAAACCAAAGACGGCATATACGAAACCAAGTGTGAAGACCTGCGTAAAAGTATGCATTCGGTTGTTAAATGCTGATGGAGGCTATATATATATATATATATATATTTCCAAATACCTAGTCATCTTGATAACGATGCAAAGCAGACACAACACAACTGGTCAAGCCAGTATAATCAAATTACGTAAACGATACAAGAACTTAATTAATATACCCTTGATTTAAGGAAACTTTAACCCATGATGGTCAAATCTTAATTGGGAAAATAATAAAAATAGACGCTGTACTCGTGGTGTAGTTGTAACAATTACGCATTTCACAAAAGGAGATACTTGGGAGCAAAAAGGGGAAGGGGAAAAAAAAAAGCCAAGGTCAAGTAGAATAAAGTTATAAGAGTACTTTTGAGAAGTGGACAAACTAAATGTGCTGCATTTAGCAATTGGTTTCAAACAAATAATAATATTATTTATTAATTTTCAAGGTTAGTGACGCAATTTGGGGTAAAGGAAGGCACTAAAAAGCAATGTTTGGTAATAGGATAAGGAATGGAATTAAGTGAGGATGATGAGACGCAGGTGTTCTTATCTGTTACGTGTACCTCTTCCCTTTTGAAATATCTTCATGTTGTGTGTGTGTGTGTGTGTGTACAGGAACTATTTGAACACAAAATTAATTAACACTTTATCATAACTTTAATTTCGTGTCTTTGTAATTCATTTGAAAGAGTTTTTGATTAGAGTAAAGAATATGTATATTTGAAGAGTGCTTTTTATTGAATATTAGATTTGTTCATTCAGTTCCGTGTATGCTTTAGTTTTGACAAATAACTTGTACTATTGAAGTTATACTAATATATGCAGTACAACCGTGTCATTCTAAATGAA